GAACGGTCTTTTCACAAGAACTTTGTTCAAATGTCTCAGATCTAAAATAGGTCTGAGGGCTGCGTCCTTCTTGGGTACGAGAAAATAATGGCTGAAAAAGCCTGACTCGCTCTGAAAGGCGGTACCGGTTCTATAGCCCCTTTGTACAGCAGCTTCGCTATTTCTGCGCGGAGTAGATGTGCTACTTCATTCACTGTCGTCGCGGTCCGTGCTCAAAAGCGCGGGGGACGGCGACCGAACTGTAGCGAATAGCCCTGTCTTATTGTGCTTAGCACCCATTCTGATACCCCTGGAATCGCTTCCCATGCTTTTATATGTGCAGCTAGGGGCAGAATGGCCTCCGGGTTCTGATTGCCGCACTGCGCGGGCTTAAGAAACTGAACCTGCTTGAATACGGCGGCTCGCTGACAGCGGTGGCAGGCTGTTTCATATATGACGTCCCAATTGCTATGAATGGGGAACGTTTTGTGATCACTTTGTGATGCGCGAGCAGCGCCTTGGGCGAAGTTTTTATTAGTAAGCGTGAACGCTCGTGAGCGGGCACGGGACTTACATTCATATGTGACGTCCCGATTGCTTTGGATGGGGAACGTTTTGTGACAACTCTGAGATGCGCGAGCAGCGAGGTGTTTGTTAGTAAGCGTGAGTGCTTGTGAGCGGGCACACGATTTACACTCATATGTGACGTCCCGATCGCTTAGGATGGGGATAATCGTTTTGTGACAACTCTCAGACGCGCGAGCGGCGCTCGAGGCGAGGTGTTTGTCAGTAAGCGTGAGCACTCGTGAGCGGGCACGCGATTAACATTCATATGTGATGTCCCGATCGCTTTGGATGGGGAACGTCTTGTGATAACCCTGTGACGCGCGAGCGGCGCCTGGGGAGATGGGTGTGTTAGTAAGCGTGAGCGCTCGTGAGAGGGTACGGCACTTACATTCATAACCTGACCGATATGAGGCTGTTTTGCCTGTGTGATAGAGCGGGCAGAGAGTAGGCATGGGCACGGACTCGTGGCCACATTTCCTACATTTAACACTCGAGCGGCATTTGCCAGCTTTATGAGAGTGGGCTCTGTGAGTGACACGGGGAGTGTTGTGCTTGTGTGTAGGGGTGAACACTGAGATGTGGGCACTTTTTCTACACTTAAAACACCATCGGCGTGAGCCGGATAACCAGACTGATGCACAAGCGGCGCCTGGGGCGAATTATTTATTAGTAAGCGTGAGCGCTCATGAGCGGGCACTTAACTTACATTCATGGCCAGGGGCAGAATAGCCTCTGGGTTCTGATCGCCGCACTTCGTGGCCTCGAAAAACTGAACCGGAGGTATGGGCGCGGCGCGCGCGCCCTCGGTGCCGGAATACGGCGGCTCGCTGACAGCGACGGCTGGCTGTTTCACATGTGTCGTCCCTATTGCTTTGAATGGGGAACGTTTTGTGATAACCTTGTGATGCGCGAGCAGCGCCGGGCGAAGTGTTTGTTAGTAAGCGTGAGCGCTCGTGAGCGTGCACGTAACTTACATTCATAACTTGACTGATATGAGGCTGTTATAGCCGTGTGACAGAGCGGGCAGAGAGTAGGCGTGAGCACAGAGTTGTGGGCACATTTCCTACATCTAACACTTGAGCGGCATTTGCCAGCTTTAAGAGAGTGGGCTCTGTGAGTGTGAGACACGGGGGGTATCATGCTTGTGTGTAGGGGTGAACACTGAGATGAGGGCACATTCTCTACACTTAGGACACCAACGGCGTGAGCCGGATAACCAGACGTATACCTTTGAGATTTCTCTGGGTCGCCATAGAAACGGCGGTTGTGTGCAGGCGAGCAGGTAGCATTACCGGCTCGCTGGCTGCCGAATACACCGCTGCAGTAACCTATTTCTAAGGGGACTGACAGGGCAAGATATTTCGACGGCGGTCCGGCCGCGGCGGGACTCAACCGTCTTTTCCGTCTTGCTGCCGCTGGAAGGACTTCACGTGCTCGCGTTGCTGCGAGGACGGAGGCTGACCTGGACGCTGAGTAGCGCTTCGCGCAGAAGGCTGATCACGTGAGCGGCCTGCAGCTGAGCTGGAGCGTCGCTCCTTAAATCCGTGGCAGCTGGATTCGGGCCTTTTTCCTCCCCTTCTCGGCGGCGCCGTCCACTTGGGAGAGCGTCGAGGAGACACATGAGTGGAGTCTCGCATGGAGTTCCAACAGAAAGGCCAGGATAGAGCAGCTGTCACCTCGGCATCTCCTTCCACCTCGCATTAGGCTCAGGTGGTCTCCGTGAACAGTGCTTCATCTTGCGCGGTCCAGCAGAGGGCGGAATTACAGCTTCGGCATTGAACACCTCGAGTCGAGCCCGCAGGGTCGACATCGGGAGTTCTTCGCAGTGGACGCAGCCTCCCGACGAAGAGCGAGGGCTGCGTGGTCTGGGCCCAGGCAGAGAGCGCAGATCACATGGCGGTCTCCGACGCTGAGCAGGGCTATGCACAAGCCACAGGAAGTGCGAGGCATCTTGAAAAAGACGTCTCGCTGCTCTTTTAGAAGGGTGGTGTCACAGCGGCGAACACGCACAGGAAATAGAGCTCAGAGAAAAAGGATACGTCGCCGGATACCTCGCACGGATGGCTGAAGGCGGCTTCTTCATTGGCAGGCGACAAGTGAACAGGGACGAGCCATTATTTAAAATTGGAATTTCTCTGAAACTAAAAATCTTTGGGAACTTTTGGGATATTGTAAGTACACAACTGCAGGAAATATATCACACTGTGCAAGTGATTTTTGGATATTTTATTACAAAAATTTTACATATTGTAGCTTCAACTGGAATCAACTGGTGATGTTAACAATCTACCTAGAAGAGGTATTGTAACAAATTGTAAAGATTTGGAGAATTGCATATGCTAGTTGAGTCTTGGGAATGTCGCCAAAACTATGATCAGACCTCACCTATTTAACCGCAACTTGTTTGGGGAGGTTAAAATAAAATAGAAAAGCCTTCGGCGACATTAAACATCAATATCATGCACCTACAATTTGCAAGGGCATTACTGGAACTTTCAAACTGGGTTTTATGGTCAGATAAGACCACAGCACAGCCATTTAGAAAAGTACCTCATCCCCACTGTGAAGTATAGTGGGGAATCTGTAATGCTAATTTCCTTCCAAAGACCCTGGACAACTTGTTAGGATACACGGTATCATAAACTCCATCAAGTACCAGCAGATATTAAATCAACACCGTATCGACTCTGTCAAGAAGCTTAAACTGGGCTGTAGTTGGATCTTCCAGCATGACAATGATCCACAGCACAACTCAAATCCAAACCCCACAAAAAACCTGTGGGATGAGCTGAAGAAAAGAGTCCACAAGCATGGACCTCTGATTCTGAAGGATCTGGAGAGATTCTGTATGGAGGAATGGTCTCAGATCTCTCGTCATATGTGCATTAACCTTATTACGCATTACAGGAAAAGATCCAGAGCTATTAACTTGGCAAAGGGAGGCTGCACAAAGTATTAAATGAAGGGGTGCCAATAATTGTGGAAAAATTTGTTTTATGATAAGAATTGTTTTCTTACAACAATGTGACTTTAATTAAAAGATTTGATTTTTGTGAATATTTTGAATAAAAGACTAAGAGGAGAAATTGCAAAAACTAATTTTCAGTCAGTTTTTCTCATATTTACCAAGGGTGCCCGTATTTGTGGAGCCCACTGTATTTAGATTTTTTTTCTATTTCTTTTTTTAAATATCAATAAAATACTCTTATAGTTCTTATTAATATCTAATTTTGAATTAGATGTTTTGTTAATATTTTACATTTCCATTTTAATTTCAGTTAGTAATGAAGGTTTAAGAGAAGCTGGCTGACCAGCAGGCTTACTAGCATAACCAGTAACTAGCTGGCTGATGAGGATACTAGCATTCTACTAGCATTTGATTTTCAACAACAGTTTGCAAGCAAGATTTGTTACTTATTGACAGTAAATGCCAAAGTTCGTAATATTATGTAGAGAGCTTGATTTACCGTAAGCAAATAACTGCACCAAAAAAAAAACTGTTGTAATAACTTATAATAAATGACTACTCAAGTTTTACAGTCCTACTGAGGATGATAAAAACCAGCTAACACTCATTCAATAATGAGTGCCTTCTCACACACCCACACACTCATTCTACCTTCATTAGTTCATCCGTGAGCCATAAGCTGTCCTGTCTGACTCATCACTAAATATGAAGGGGAATCCTGTAGCACGCTAACCGAACGGAAGGATTACACAACTCAACAATGAGTAGATGCGTTCTAAGGTGAGTACTCACTGAGAAAGAGACGATGTTTACAATGTGATCGGGAGGCTAAATGTCAGGATAGTTCACCATTTAGATTAGAATTCTGTTTAAAGTCCCAAAAAGGGACTTTAAATTAAAGTTTAATTCCTGAAATTGAACTGAGGTAGAAAACAGGATGTAGTCTTTCAAATTTAACAATGTTAATGGACTGAAATTCAATGTTTCTGCAAGAATAGTTTTTAAAAATGTAATTTTTCAGTATAAATTCCCCATTAAAAATGTTATCATACATAACATATGGGTATTTCCAGAAATTCATGATATTTATAACAACTGTTTTAAAGTGCAACCTACACAAATTTGTATTGATTTAAAATCTGTTTTGATGTTTGATCCAATCTGACAATTTTACTTAATTAGTGTCTTAATGTGTCTAATTACTTAAATAATTATAAATAATTAGTACAAAATAATTATATAATTATTTATATTTTGTTGCAAAATGTGTGTTGGAATAATGAAATTCCTTGTTGGACTACATTGCATTTCTGTGAATTACAATTCAGTAAATTGTTCCTGTTATTCCCATTCAAATTTAATTTTGAACATTCTGTGGTGTGAGTCCAATTGTTAAAATCTGAATTTTGCCAAGCTAAATGTAATGCATTCCTGAGGTTGAAACATCCAAATATGTTGTAGTTATAAAACTGTGGTTTGCACTCACAAGAAAAGGGTTGTAGCCAGTTGGGGGTACGGGTGGGACGCCTCTGGGCCCAGCAGCTGGTGGCAATACTGACAGACCGGTTGAAAAGATGCCCAGTGCACTCAGGCTTAACCCGGGGATAAGGTTGGTTTGTTGCTGCAAGACAGAGAAATAACATCATGGATTATGAATGATTACTCAGTTTTACTCAGTATGAATGATTTATCATGTTTTTCTTGATAATAACTCTAATTTGAGATTAGATTTCTCAGTTTCCATGTATTTCTGAGCTGTATGAACAGTCTTAACAGTGTGAATATTTGTTATAACATGTTGTAATATCGTTACTGTCACGCTAGGTGGCTCCATCGACCCGGTGCATCATTTTATGTGGTAAGCGCTTTTAGATAAGTTTGTATGCTGTTTAGTCTTGACAGAGATATGCTTGATTTTTCATTTTCTGTCTGATTCATCTGCTGTGCCTCTTTCATTCAAAACGGAATTAAGTTTACACGGTTCAACTAACAGACAGTTACACATGAAACTGTCGCAAAAACACTTGATCCAAGCATGAATAATTTACCGTATGCCTGACTGAGGACTGACTAATGAGTGACTATAAATGAAACTGCATAAATTTGATCTGTGTAGTTGAGAGAGGCTTCTACCGCAAAATAAATGACTCACTAAAGATAAAAAGGAGTCCTCGGATCATACGACGGTGTAAACTAGAACGATGATCCTATTGTTACAGTATTTGCTCTGTCTATGGCTTCACCTCCCTCAGGCACAGGCAGTGACGTCATGTGTGTAAACAGGGAGAATGGTGTACATGTGCGTGCATGTCTGTGTGAACGGCTGTTGACAGGATGCCTTCTCCTTATGCACAGCAGGGAATGAACTGACTCAAGGCTGTTTCCTATAAACAGTCAATAACTGAACACAAGCAAACAGACAAGCCGTCTAAAAGCCTTGTCGTCTACAGGACCAAGTTTGACACATTATAACAGCATTTTTATGTAGAACATAGAGTTTCTTTAAGTTAAATCTGAAAAATGTCATATTGATTATAACATCAAAGACAGTGGATTAAAATGAAGTGTGAAAATCCTGTCATCAAAACCGCAAACACTTACGTTAATAGCAGCAATGTCATTCTCATAGGCTTCCCTCAGCTTCCTCATGATCTCCACTTCAGCCCTACAACAGGCCTCGATACTCCCTTTCACTATAATGGTTCTCTCTGGATTATAAATAGTTAAATCCTGTAAACTGTGGGAAGAATGGACCAAGAAAGAGAAAAATCAGAGTAAAATTACTGGTACATATTTAAGAAACACACAAATTCCTCCAGTCAGATTGGAGCAGTGTTTGAATTGAGGGAATTTTTAATGATTAATTATTATATTGTACATATGATGTGACCATATTGGTATTATTGACTTATATTAGAATGTTTTTAGAAATATTACATCAGTCTGAATCAGGTGTCAATATCTTTTCTATTATTATTATTATTATGGTAACACTTTACAAAAAGGTTTCATATGTTACCATTAGTAAACTACATTATTTAACATGAACTAACAATTAAAAATACTTAAGCATTTCTTAATCTTAATTTATACATTTACTAATACATTTTTAGAATGAGATCGTATCTTAACATTAGTTAATGAACTGACAAACAAACAATGAACAATTGTATTTTTAATAATTAACATTTACAAAGGTTAATAAATAATGTAAAAATATATTGCTCATGTCACGGTTATGCTCAGTTAGTTTCTGTTTCCATGGACTTTTGGTTTATTTTCAGTCACGTGTTCATCATCATTACCCTAATTTACTTTGTATTTAGTTGCAGTCTTTTCAGTTTCCTGGTGTCCGGTCACGTCTATGTTAGAGGTTGTGTTATGGTCGCCTGCCTGTTCGGATTGCCCTTTAAAGGGATACTCCACCAGTTTTTCTTATTAAACTATGTTATTCCCTTAACTAAGACGAGTTGATACATACCTCTCTCGTCTCAGTGCGTGCACTATATCGCTCTGTATTGCCGCAAAACTATGTTAGCACTTAGCTTAGCCCATGCATTAAATATGGGCCAAGCAGAGAAGCGACCAAACACTTCCACGTTTTCCCTATGTAAACACAGTTACTCGAGTAGTGTAACTTGACCTGGGCTGGTGACACAAAATAAACCGTTGCGCTTTTCTAAGCGTTTAAAATTGATGACTATATTGTATGGCGGAATACCATAACAAGTGCTTTTGAGCACTTCGACTTGGCGCAATAATATCTTCACTCGTGAAAAGTCCCGGCTCCCGCTTCCTCTCCCCCTCCCTCTGACATTTCCGTCAATACAACCAACGTGACTTTTACTACCTGTGCTGTGCTATTAGCAAACTGCAGATCATTTGCAATGGCGGACTTTGTAGATGATTATGACTTCTTTGTAGAAGACCCAGAGCCATATCTGTTTGAACCCGAGTACACGGAGGAGGAATTAGCTCTTATGGACCGTGAGAGGCAAGAAAGATATGATCCAGAACAGACCGGAGCTGGCGAAAGACCACGGGCAAACAGCAATTGGTGGTGCAAGTGTGACTGTTGCGAACAGATGCCGACCGAAATTGAGAGCCTGTGCTGTTTAGAATGCTAACTAAGCTAACTAGCTTCCAACAACCTGTTACTTCGTCAACTCCGCTCGAACTACTACTACCGGCGCATGTCACGTTGGTTGTATTGACGGAAATGCAATACAGAGCGATATAGTGCACGCACTGAGACGAGAGAGGTATGTATCAACTCGTCTTAGTTAAGGGAATAACATAGTTTAATAAGAAAAACTGGTGGAGTATCCCTTTAAGTGGATTATTAAAGACTTTTGAAACTTGATCATCATCATCTTCTTGTTCTTCCTTCAACCTTATGTAACAGATTTCCGGACAACAACTAAATGCAGCTCAATTCACTGCTTTAGCCTGCCAAAGCCTTCATTTTTTGGACTTTTCAGTTGACTTTTGTCGTCTCGCCATCACCTGCGCTTACGATGACGAAACCCTGAAGTCATTGTTTTGGATCGGGGCAAATTACCACAATCCAGTAGACCTCCCAGACACTAAAGGACTTGACTGGAGGGAGGCCATCATCAAGTGTCTGGAGAGTGTCTACTCCCGATCCGGAACACAGCTGGACCCAGAGCCCGATTCACCACCTTCGACTGCGGAGAATTTGTGTGAGCCCCCCGCAGACGGAGATCTACCGCGGTGAGTGAGTCAGAGCCGGAGGAAAGGAGGACAGCGCTGACCATCACCCCGGAACAGGAGCTCCAGAGTGAGTCTGACCAGGGGTGTGAGCCCCAACACCAGCGGCTAAGGGAATGCCAGTAAAAGTGGACTCTGAAGATTGCCTGATCGATCTCAGTACGGAGGTATTGCTTCCAAACCTATTCACCCGGTATTGTACTCTACATCACCACTGCCTAAAGACATTGAGATCGTTATGGACTGTCATTTATCTGTTTTTTTCTTTATCATTGCTGTTTAAAGACAGCATTGAGAATTGTATGGACTGTGTCTTACCCACATTGATGCCGTCAAGTTTCCCGTTATCACCATCACCGCAGAGCTCAGCCAGTCCTCCAGCCCCGCTTCTGCTGGATACTTGCAGCCCTTCGACTTCTCTGGACACACCTTACTGTGACGTGAAGCCTCAGGTCATGCAAACGCCAGCCTCGACTGAGCGAGAGGATCCTGTGGCTCCGCCTCGGATCCCTTCGCTCCACCTCGGCCCGTCAACCTGTTGGCTCCGCCTTGGCTCCTCCCACCTTTAGCTCCACCAGAGACCCTCGGCCTTGTGGCTCTACCGGGTTTCCTCATCCCACCGGCTCCCCCTTGGTCAGTCATCACTCTGCTTCCGTCACGGAATTCCCAGCCGGTAATTCCGGTAAGCCGGGGAAGGTCTCTGGGGAGGGTCTCCGACCTCCATCAGTCGTCCCCCCTCCCTCGACTCCATAGTGGGCCGTCGTCGCTGCCAGGCTCTGGGTCCGCACCATTGACCTATCACCATCATCGCCGCCAGGGGATCGTCGTCATCCACACATCACCATTTATCCGTCGCCATTTCCTGTCGCCATCCCTTCACCGCCGCTTCATGGTGCTGGTTGAGGAGAGAACCCCTGATATGATTGTAAAGCGCTTTGGGTGTACAGTAGTACATATGAAAGCGCTATATAAATGCTTCATTCATTCATTCATTCATTCATTCTCATCCACCTCCAAAGCCCCCACCGTCCCTCCCTCTTCTCATCTTCTGTTACGCGCAAGGTAACGCCTTACTGTACTGTCACAGTTATATTCAGTTAGTTTCTGTTTTCATGGACTTTTGGTGTATTGTCAGTCACGTGTTTCTTTGTTCAGTTTCCCGCCACTCAAGGAGATTCATTTGATCTGCACAGATGTTAATCATCATTACCCTCATTTGCTTTGTATTTAGTTGCAGTCTTTTCAGTTCCCTGGTGTCCGGTCAAATCTACGTTAGACGTGTTATGGTCGCCTGCCGGTTTGGATTGCCCTTTAAGTGGATTATTGAAACTTGGATCAAAGACTGGATTAAGTGGATTAAAGACTTTTGAAACTTGATCATCATCTTCTTGTTCTTCCTTCAACCTTGTGTAACAGCTCATAGTTAGTTGATGTTTAACGACTTCGCCGTTGTCCTCAGTCGCTCCGGCTCCACCGCGGTTTCGGGGTCCCCGCCTCCGCTCTCTCCCATGAGCCGTCAGGTCCACCTTAGCCCTCCAGACATGCGGTGTCACCCTGACTCTGTGTCTCCTCGGCTCCATCTGGGTCTCCACCATGACCGGCTCTGTCGCAGGAGATTGCATCACTGGTCCCTCCTCCCAGGCCTCCACCATGGCTCCTCTCTCCTGTGACTCCACATTGGATCATTGTGCTGGCTGTTTCTTGGGTACCTGCCTGGCTACTCCTGCTCCTGGCTCCTCCCACCCTTCCACTCCCCCATGGACTATATTGACTGTCTCTGTTTGTTTACACCCCTCTCCAGCTCCACGTCCTCCCCCCTCCTCAGATGGACCTTTTTACTGCGCGAGGACGTGTTTTGGTTTTGTTCATGTTTGCCTGCGTTTCCTGTCATTTGACCTAGTTTCCCAGTGTGTTTGATTAATGATTCCGTTCACCTGATCTGTTAATTATCTTATTAGCTCTCCATGTTATCTAAGCCCTGTGTTTCCGGAGTTCATTGTTCGGTGCCCCACTACTTGATTTGAAAAAGGGGAAAATATTTAGGGGGATATTTATTATTATCATTATTAATATCAACATCATGTCAATAGCAACATAAAAAGAAACAAAACTTTACCCTGCTACTTCGCTTATTAAAAAAATATTATTATTAATATTATTACATTTTCCATTTAATTTCGATTGATTGTGTATAATAATTTATTATACAGAGGTATAATGTCTGATCTCGCTGAATGCACAATGGAAGCACAACAACCACATCTTCAAAATATGGTAAGGACTCTAACCATAAAGCATGAGTTAACTGGAGCACAGAATAAGAGAGATCTGAGCCATGTCATAGAAAGACAAGATGTTTGCACTGTATCTTTGATGTGTTGTTCTTGTGCTGAATATTCTATTGCATTCTTCTCTGATTCCACCTGGAAGGAAGTGGGACTCTATGTAGAGAGCAAGTTATTTTAATTTGTATTGATGAGCACTGGTAAATAAGGCTGTTTTTTACAGGGACAGCTAAGCAATGACGTTGGGAGTGCTGGTTAGGGTTTAATTGGATGACTCACTTCCTAAGCTATCTGTGTGACCAGCACACACTTTATTTCTGGGAAATACTTAAAACCACCTGTACACTGATGCTCTGCACCAGATCCTAGCACTCAGCAGCCCATTACAAGGTCACATCACATGTTCAGGTCATGTTATGATCAATATCTTGACAACACAACAGCATTACCTATCAAAACAAGAGCTACAGCTTTAATTTAAAAAGATTTTAGAATAACAGCCACAAAAGCAAAATAATTATGAGCTTCCATTGTTTTCACCTGCTGAAAGCCATCAAACGTAACAGACACTCACGAGGAGATGGTTATCTTGGTCTCTGTCTCTTCTTCAATCTTCTTCAGGTTTCTGCCCTCCTTCCCGATCAGTCTTCCAACCAGACTGTTGTGGGCCAGGATCTTCATAGGAATATCCTCAGTTCTACAGAAGCAAAAACACAAGTTGACAATTACATAGATGCATTTAAAGAACACCTCAAAATAAAAACAGACTTCGGAAGATTCAGACTTACACTTTTGTGTCATCAGCCTCTTTCTGCATGATGTCCATGATCATACGGCACGCGGCGGAGCAGCCCTCAGGAGTCGAGTGGATGGTGATGGGCTTCTCTGCCGCTCCCGCGTTCTCCTTACGATGGATGTCCACCCTAACAGGACGGGAACATGACCATTCAGCAGCGATCAAACTAAGCTTTGTGAAAAGTTGTCACTGTAAAACAAGCAGGTATTTATAATCAACGTGAATTGATGGTCACAGCCAGATTTGATTAATAAATGTGACATTTCATGTCCAAAATATACTGACTATCTAATCAATGGATAGTACACATTTTCTGTGTACTAATATCATATATTATGTCGATTTGTATTTAAGCAATTCTATGTACAGTTTGGAGTCAGCGAGTTTTTTGTACTATTGAAAGAAATTAAGGGCTAGATTTACTAACAGCTTGCGCCAGCGCAAACACTCTTTTGCCGTTAAAATAATACTGTCAGGATTTACTAAAGACACGCAGTGAAAAAATAGCATTAAAAAGGTGTAGACAGTCATTTTTGCGTCTCAGCTTATTGTATATGCATTTGTGGGAGTTTCCCTTTCAGACACAAAATTTATGAGAGGAGAGTATTTAAATGAATCGCGCATGGTGATTTACTAAGGTTTACGCTAGTCAATTTACTGTTATTTGCACCATTATCTATCGCTCAAAAAAGCATGTCTTAACCCATTTTGCACCTGTGTTGTTAGAACTTCACCCGCTTTGCTTGTTTGCGACTCTACGCTAATTTGGGCTGCTCTTGATGAATTGCGAAAGTCATTAGGGAAATGATCCAGCTGCGTCTGTGTTCTGTAATTTGTTTGTCATAATAAGTAGATTACGCGCAGAACTTTCCACTCGCATCGGCGCTTTTATGTAATTGCGCTCTCATGCTAATTTGCACTGTTTAGTAAATCTGGCCCTAATACTTTTATTAATCAAAGAAGCATTAAATTGATCAAATGTGAGAGTAACAGCATTTATTTGAAATAGAAATCTTTTGTAACATTATAAATATTGTTCTTTTTAAAGGGACAATGTGTACTTTTTATGTATTTTATTATTTAAAATCAATATTTTTATTCATAAATATGTTCTCAATGTTGTACAAATACCTCTGCCAATTATCTGATTTATCCTCGTAAACTAAGAATTTATTATCTTTATATACATGGGACGGGTAGGTCCACGGAGGCTTCCATGTAGTTCCGCCATCTTGAAAAACTATAATAGCAGAGAGGGACAAAAAGTACTAGGCCAACGCGTTTCCACAGCGCGTTTTCGTTCAGAGCCAGCGTGACGTACTGAAAGCAGCAGTTGTAAAGAAACTTGTTCCCCATATAAATTTTCCTATATGTAATGCAAAAACTTTGAAGCTCAATATCTCAAAACTGCTCAGAACGCAGATAGAACCTTATAATTCCAAGGGGACGAACTGAAAGCAGCAGAAACAGAGGAGCAGAGCAGTGAGAGGCGCTTGCCCCGGCAAGTTTAAAAGGCTGCATTGCAAATCCTCGTCGCCAGAAAAGTCCAAAATAGATCGTAAAAGGAAACGTGACCGGAGATTACAAAAAACACGAGTTAATGTCGGGATAGCTTTTTCCAGGTGGATAGAGCTAATGCAGGAGAAAGATTTCAAAAGAGACGCTGAAGTCCTGCTTTCTTCTAGACAGGTAAGTCAATGTTACAGTCTTAATTACAAGCTTTTTTTCATTGTTTGGTTGTGTACTTTATTTTATAGACAGATGAACATTTATAGTTAAAAGTTGATGATTATATCTAACAATGCACGTACTTCAGAAAATATAACGAATAAAGAAGGCATAACTACTTATTACAATAGTTTGTGTTTTTCACAGTCAGTAATTCATACTGTAACATTCGTTTGTTCGTTGTGTCAAGATGCTGTTTGTTTGAAATAACAAACCTGTTCACCCGAAGGAACACTCGACGAAGTGCTATTAGAAGACATCCTGTCATAGCTTTTTGGTACATAATGGCTACCGTAGATGCAACGCGCATTTGAAAAAGCGAGGCGCTGGAGAGCACAATTCGTTTGAATGCAAAATACATTTTCACCGCTAGATGGGAGAAATTCCTACACATTGTCCCTTTAACTTAATATTCACCAAACAATCTTGGGAAAAAAATTCCACAAAAATATTAAGCAGCAAAACTGTTTTCAACGTGGATAATAAGAAATGCTTCTTTAGCAGCAAATCAGCATATTAGAATGATTTCTGAAGGATCATGTGACACTAAAGACTGGAGTAATGATGCTGAAAATTTATTTGCTATCACAGGAATAAATTACACTTTAAAATATATTCAAATAAAAAATAGTTCATTTAAATTGTAAATTTTTCACTGTTTTAGGTCAAATAAATGCAGCCACGGTGGGAGACTCCGATCAAAAATATATATATATAAAAAAAAACAATAGTACCGGACCCAAACTTTTGAACGGTAGTGTATATAACATTTGTAATTAATAAATGTATTATATAATTCTAAAAATAATAATTGTATTTATATTAATTGAGGTCCACAAAATGTACTCTTATTAACCACATCAATACATCACACTCACTTAGACTGTGTCTGTTTGGTGATGTTTTTGATTGTGAGACCCTCCTTGCCAATGATGGCTCCCACAAACTGTGTGGGCACTAGCATGCGCAGGGGGAAGTCTGGCTGTTTCTGTCGGAGCCCCAGGGAGCCTCCAGAGGTCCCGGGCTGGGAGTCCTGTTCTCGTGATGTCCTTCCACCCCGGCGATTCCGGGTTGCAGGCAGGGGTGGAGCAGCATCCATATCCAAAATATAAGACACTTTAAAGGAGTAATCCTCAAACGTCTGTCCTGTTAACTTCTCTACAGCGCTGAAGACAAGGACGGAGAAAATTATCAGTGGAATATGGTGACAGTATAAAGGTGGAGAGTTTTGGCATTTTTTAAATAAAAAATCAGGGCTGGCAGTATGATAGTAAATACCCAGTGACAGTTGTGTCAACCAGTGGAGGATCTGCAGAAGATGAGGTTCAATGCAGACAACTTCACTGCATCAATATCAGCTAATACGCATGTATATTTAGCTGCTGTTTTACAATGGTGTCAAAAATGGCTCATCGTTTATAATCTATGACAGTTTTGAGTGTTTTAAACTCATGTTACATAATAATATAATGTGTAGCAGTTTTTGCACTAATTTCAGACTTATTCTTTTTTCGCAAAACAAAAAAACAGATGAAGTCTCTTTAATTTTAGTATAAATGTCACAAAATTAAAATACACAGACATTACTAATTGATTATGTAATACAAAAAACATTTTGGGATAACATTTTTTAGGAAAAAAGTTTATATATATACACCATTAATGTGACAAAATTTTTAATTATGAGTAATTTTATATCACAATGGTGGTGTATGTTATGAGGATATAGTTACTTTTGCTGAGTACTTTAAATACTTAAATATGTCCATTAAATTAAGATCACATTATTTTGTGTTTAAGCTTATATGTTTAATTAAATTTATACAATTATAAATATTGTATATTAAAAATATTACATATTTAAATATTATTAAACAGAATTTGCAAATATTACAACAAAAGGTTTTTGACATACCATTACCATGATACATTTATTTATACTCTTACAAATGATTTTGGTCATATCCCTATGAATAATAAATAAAAAACTAGAAAACTTTATTCTTAAATTCTTACATTTTAGCCTCCTCTTTTGTTGAGTACGTCACATTCACCACTGCTGTTTCTGTATCAGTGTTAACTGCAAAAAGAAATGAAATCAGGTGAGAGAGGGAGTGAGAAGTCAATATTTAAAAACAAAGAGCTCGGTCATATTCATAAGCATATGAGACTGCAAGCTTTTGTATGAGATGCATTCATACAAATAAATGCAGTTTTACACTAGTGCTGTGAAGAGCCACTTGTGTGTGTCTGCATATTAAATGAGGATTACTGTGCCATGGCCACATGTGTACTTCACAAGAGAAGCACAAAGCAACCCTGACGTCCATGGATCAAAGCTCTGTGCACTTCAAGAGTTTATGCTGCTATACACTTTCAACTGCCAACTATAGCACTTACAACTATACACGTACAACTCAGGACCTTATAAAACAGTGGTTCTCATTTATTATAATTTTTATAATTATGTGTGTGTATATATATGTATTATATATATATATATATATAAATTATAATAAATTTGCTTTTAATGATCCTGATGAATAGAATGAGCATCATACCTGCATGCAAATCCTTCCCAGCTAACACACTAAGTACAAGAACGTAATTGACTGGTACTTTCTGGTAATTTCATGACGTACTAATTGGCAACGTAACTACGACATTGCATGCTTGTTATTTCTTTTGCTCTTTATATATAGTGAAGTGATATAAAGCGCACACCGCGAGTTCCCGCTCACTGACCTTTCCTGATCCCGTCCCTCTCTCTCTCCCACCTCACTTCCTGTCCACTCTATACTATTTTATCATAATAAAGGCAAACATCGCCAAAATGAAATCTTTAAAAAAAACTAATGAAAAAAATAAGTCTTGATTCAGGAAAAACATATTGTTGATTCTTTGACTGCACACTCTGCAACCCAACAGTTGAGAAACGCTGTGTTAAAAGGTCAAGCTGTATTATACTTTCTGAAGAATGTGAAATGGGACTAAATAAAAGCTGTTCCAAATTACAAGAATTGCAATAATTACAGACAGAAGCCACTGCAGAGACAATGTGTATGTGTATGGTATTTTTAAGAGGAAAGCCTGCCTCTTTATTGATTAGATGGAGTTATGTGTCTAGAGAGCTAGACAGTCTGTCTGAAGGAAGTTGAGTGGGATGGCTGGGCAGAAATCCAGAGCTTCACACATGAAGAGAACCACAAAGCCTCACTATAATGCAGCTCAAGCGATCAATCTCAGAACCAATGAGTGTCACCAATGAAGAAACATCAATAGGCCTTGAGAAAGAATGACGAGAAATAGCGCTGTCCTCATATCATGCCGACATCATATTTATTTCATAGGATGAGTGCATGCACAATGGGACTGTTTGAATGGGATTCCTTTTCTAAACAATGCTGTAGTTACAATTATTATTCAGGATAATGACAAGATCATTATTTTGGATCTATTGACTTATTCAAAAATACTGAAAAAAAATAGAACAGCTTTAATTTACCTCTTCTATTACAAGCATTTTTAATTTCTGACTTATATTTTTTAAGGGCATAGAGTATAAGATATCAGAAGGATAAACTCTCCTTATACTTACTGCTTATTGATATTTGATTATTATATAAAATATGACAAACTCTCAGATAATTGAACTTTTTACAAGGCAAAATTAGTTCAGTTGTAACATATCCCCAAAAACGTAATATTATTTTTGTTATTATTTTAGTAAAATATTGTTATTATTTTAGTTTGTTATTAGTAAAAATGTCATTCACATGTATTAAATGTTTTAGGATAAGATTTGTACTTGACTGTTACACACCATGACAGTTTTAGAGTCACATTTAAATATAAACTTTAACTTGAAAACCATTCAAAACTATTGAAACCAACATAAATACAAGGAGTGCATGTCTAAGAACTCTGCACATGCATTTTAAACTAGATTTTAAAAATATTTCTCTTTTCTTTATTGTGGACTGACTCTCATTCTGGATATCACTGACACATTTACTAAGATGAGAAAGATTATGAACTACATATTCTTGATTATGAACTACATAAAATATGTAAACAGAGTCCAAAACTTTGCTCAGTGAACATTTGAAGTGAACAGAAACTTGTGAGAGCCTTTTGCATTTGGACAGGTGTCTGCATCTGATATCAACATACAATGACAGATCGTGTAAAGCACCACTGTACCAACATTAAGTTAACACACTGATAAAGTAAGTAATGTGTGTCATGAATTACAAGTGGTCACAGGTGTGAACGCAATCGTCTCAGAGAGAGAGAGAGAGAGAGAGAGAGAGAGAGACCACAGGCGCCTACATTTACCTCCCTATTATCATGCTGCTCCTCCCTGAAAACACACACATTACAGCTGGAGTCTCGCCACACTCTCCCACTTCAATCCACACACTGCTGCGCCATCACACCGCTCATTTCAGCCATAGTGCTCATCCCTCTCTCATGCACTGTCTGTCTGAGACTTCCTCTCAATCACACTCACTCTCAAGAGCACCCCACCCCCTTTTCTCTATTGGGAAAGACCATTACAGAACCTCACAACTGAGACGTCTCCACTGGCAGCAAGTGTTGATGGGATTTAAGTTTGGATAACGTGTGATCTAAATGCACACATTGTCTCTGTAGTCCATAGTCTGTTAGCAATTTAAATTCATCCACAAACGGGTACATCAGCAAATGTGCTATTTGACAAAGTCCCCAATAGAAAAGACAATACATATATATATATATAAAGGTTAATGTTTAATGAGCAGGGAAGAGTGTCTTAGCATTTGTCGTCTAGTCATAGCCAATGCGGTCCTAAAAAGCCTGTGAGTAGCACTTCATCATTTTGTCCAAATGACAGAAAAAACTGAGCGCTTACACAGCTACAATAAACGTTATAACTGTAAGTTGATGAAAACGCATTGTGTTGCACTTACTGGTTCAGATGCAGCCGTTCTAATGACAGACAAAACATGTATGTCCAAATTCTCAGAAATTTGCTGGTCAAAAATGTAATCTTGTAACCTCGCAATTTGAACTTGATTTTGGTAAAATGTGACCCTGGACCACAAAACCAGTCACATGGGTCAATTTTTTCCATTAATGTATGGTTTGTTAGGATAGGACAATATTTGTCTGAGATAAAACTATTTGAAAATCTGGAAACTAAGTGTGCAAGAAAATTGCCTTTTAAAGTTGTCCATTTATGTTCGCGATTGTGCTGCATTCACTCTCAAAAATAAATGTTTTATATATTTACGGTAGGAAATTTACTAAATATCTTCATGGAACATGATCTTTACTTAATAGCCTAATGATTTTTGGCATAAAAGAAACATTTATAATTTTGACCCACACAATGTATTGTTGGCTATTACCACAAATATACCCATGCTACTTCTGACTGGTTTTGTGATCCAGGGTCACAAATGTTAATAAAATAATGAAACATGCAAATGTCTGTCTGACCATATACAAAGCCACAATATCAACTTTAACAAAACAGTGTTTAATTATAAAAAAAAAAAAAAAAAAAATTCTTGAAAAGTAATGGGTTCGAACATATCAGGTTTCCGCTCAACAACAATGATATGAAATGTATAAAAGAAAGTGCATTTTTATATGCTGTAACTAGTTAGTAGGGATGTCAAAAGTCAATACTTTATCAAATAATTTGTGTGCATGCTCTGCTTATGCTTCATGGTAATGCAGCTTTTCAAATTCACCTTTTTTTGAGTGAATGTGAACAGACCTGCCATTCTATTGTCGTAAATATGAATCAAACAAAATATTTAATATTAATAAAACAAATGAGAAAACAACTCTGCACATGTCACTGTTTTAATGAAATATTTACATTCATATTAAATAATTAAGTGAACATGTTCAATTGCATAATAAATTTGACAACCTTAATAGTCACCATTTTCTTTCCTAAGTTCTTTACTATTTTTTAAAAACTATTTGTCTTCACTAGTTCATTTAAATGGTCCTGCAGTGTGAAAGATTTTTTTTTTAAAAAAATCAAATATTTAATGCAGTCTTTCAATTAATAGTAGATCATACAAGCAGCAAGCATGGTAATTACAAAATAATTTTTATATTTTTTAGATGGAATATAGCATGTCATATCATGAGGCACTGCTTGAAATGTCAACTAACCAAATAGAAAATACAATGGCAAGTCTTTACCTTGTTCCACATTTTCTACAGTACCATACTGTGCTAACAGGCTGTCCAAAACCTGCAACGAGAAGAGCACAATCAGCAAAACATCTAAACATATGAACACATAAACCGTTTTTAGATAGAATACTAGAAAATAGTAGAGTTGGAAAATAAAAGGAATGGTTCACTCCAAAATTAAAATCATATTCACTATTATGTCAAATATCAAAATCTGTATGCTATTATATAAGAATACCTGTACATAGACTGCAGTTCAAAAGTTTGGGGTTGGTAAGATTTATAATGTTTTTGAAAGAAGTCTCTTATGCTCACCAAGGCTGTATTTATTTGATCAACAACAACAATAACTTTTCTGTTTTAATATGTTTTAAAAATCTGAATTTGCATAATCATTACTCATCTTAAACATTTCTTATTATAATCAATGTTGAAATCAGTTATAAATCATGCTTAATATTTTTGTGGAAGCCATGATACATCTTTTTTTTTTCTTTCTGATGAATAGAAAGTTAAAAAGAACAGCATTTATTTGAAACAGAAATGTTCTGTATCCTTATCAGTTTCTGTATTGTCACTTTTGTTTCATTTAATGCATCCTTGCTGAATAAAAGTATTTAAAAAAATCTTACTGAATCCAAACCTGGTAATGGGAACTACCAAAAAATGGTAATGTAGCTCTTGCCATTTCATAGTTTTGTTTTCACTTCATTTTGCCTTCATTTGTATTATTCAATGATATTCTGCAGTTCTATCAAAGCTTGTCCAGATTCAAAAGTGGTGTGCAAATGTCACAAAAAAAATGGCTTTGGTATAGAATGAACACATCGTTTTTTACACAGTGAGCCACTAAACTCAAGAAAGCAATGCAGAATACAGAGGCACAGTGTCCAAATACACGAACGAAGTGTGTGAGAGCGTGTAAGTGGGCCAGAGCTCACTGTGATGATGTCATCAGGATTTACAATCGGGTCACCAGGGCTGAACACTCTCCAGACAGATTCACACGGACTGAAGAGGAAGTGTATTTGTGTGTATGGGCGGAGCTTCTCTAATGCATCGTCAGTTAGAGAAAGAAAGCGCTGTAGCCCAGAGAAGACAGACAGACAGAGTCCTGACCACACACACACACACAGTTCTCTCTGCCTGAGCAGTTACACACTCACCTCCCACTGGAGATGAGGAGGAATGTTCCGGATCTGAATCTTCCGACTCCTGCAGACACAGAAAGAAAGCGAGAGAGACAATGAGACAAAAAAGAAAGTGAAAGAGAGAAAGGAGAAATCAGAAAACAGAAGCGCAGCGATATTCAGCGTATGGGTGCTACAGCGTTAAAACATACAGGCTGCCAATCAGATCCAACGGACTAAAGAAACAGAGTGAAACAAAACACTTATAAAGCTTGAGCATCAAAGTGATGCCAATGAAAATCATGATCATCTCTAAAGTGGTGTGTGCATTGACAGAGATTTACAACTAAAAAGCAAGCAGAAGTCATTATTTTTCAGTTGTCCACTTATTGCAACATGAGCAATAGTAACCATATTCTTGAAATATTTTTCGATCTTACTAGCAATATAAAATTGAAAAATATTGTGAATATGGTAAGGATTTTATTGTGCTTTTTTCCCATGTCATCTCATAGAATTATAAGACAGAAGTGTTATAATTGAATAATTTCAGTGAGTCAATTCTAAACTCGGAATCAATGATTCTGACACAAAGAAGTCCTGTATGACACATTTCATATATATATACACTCACCGGCCACTTTATTAGGTACACCTGTCCAACTGCTCGTTAACACTTAATTTCTAAGCAGCCAATCACATGGCGGCAACTCAGTGCATTTAGGCATGGACATGGTCAAGACAATCTCCTGCAGTTCAAACCGAGCATCAGTATGGGGAAGAAAGGTGATTTGAGTGACTTTGAACGTGGCATGATTGTTGGTGCCAGAAGGGCTGGTCTGAGTATTTCAGAAACTGCTAATCTACTGGGATTTTCACGCACAACCATCTCTAGGGTTTACAGAGAATGGTCCGAAAAAGAAAAAACATCCAGTGAGCGGCAGTTCTGTGGGCGGAAATGCCTTGTTGATGCCAGAGGTCAGAGGAGAATGGCCAGACTGGTTCGAGCTGATAGAAGGGCAACAGTGACTCAAATAACCACCCGTTACAACCAAGGTGGGCAGAAGAGCATCTCTGAACGCACAGTACGTCGAACTTTGAGGCAGATGGGCTACAACAGCAGAAGACCCCACCGGGTACCACTCATCTCCACTACAAATAGGAAAAAGAGGCTACAATTTGCAAGAGCTCACCAAAATTGGACAGTTGAAGACTGGAAAAATGTTGCCTGGTCTGATGAGTCTCGATTTCTGTTGAGACATTCAGATGGTAGAGTCAGAATTTGGCGTAAACAGAATGAGAACATGGATCCATCATGCCTTGTTACCACTGAGCAGGCTGGTGGTGGTGGTGTAATGGTGTGGGGGATGTTTTCCTGGCACACTTTAGGCCCCTTAGTGCCAATTGGGCATCGTTTAAATGCCACGGCCTACCTGAGCATTGTTTCTGACCATGTCCATCCCTTTATGGCCACCATGTACCCATCCTCTGATGGCTACTTCCAGCAGGATAATGCACCATGGCACAAAGCTTGAATCATTTCAAATTGGTTTTCTTGAACATGACAATGAGTTCACTGTACTAAAATGGCCTCCACAGTCACCAGATCTCAATCCAATAGAGCATCTTTGGGAAGTGGTGGAACGGGAGATTCGCATCATGGATGTGCAGCCGACAAATCTGCGACAACTGTGTGATGCCATCATGTCAATATGGACCAAACTCCCTAAGGAATGCTTCCAGCACCTTGTTGAATCTATGCCACGAAGAATTGAGGCAGTTCTGAAGGCAAAAGGGGGTCCAACCCGTTACTAGCATGGGGTACCTAATAAAGTGGCCGGTGAGTGTATATATATATATATATATTTTTTTTTTTATATATATATATAAATTCAGTAAATACTGCTGTTTAGTGCTATGTTTTGTGATATTGCGGTATTTATTATTTTGATTATTTGGTTAAAACGCTGGTTCCTGTGATTCAAGAAAATGCACTCTTATAATCAAATATACTGTATAAATTTTGAGATATTGTATATCATGACAATAATATTTTATCACTATTTTTCTCAACCCTATCTTTACGCCAAGTCTAATATATATATATATATATATATATATATATATATATAATATATATTAGTAACTGTCAAAGGTTTGAAAACAGTCTCTTTTGCTCACAAATGCTTAATTTATGTAATATTATAAAATATTATTACAAATTAAAATAAGTTTTCTATTTTAATATATTTTAAAATGTAATTTATTCCTGTGATGGCAAAGCTGAATTTTCAGCATCATTACAACATTCTTCAGTGTCACATGATCCTTCAGAAATCATTTTAATATGCTGATTTGATGCTCAAGAAACATTTATTATTATCAATGTTGAAAACTGTTTTTGTTGCTTAACATTTTTGCAAGATGGTGATACTTTTTTCAGGATTCTTTTAATGAATAGAAAGTTTAACGAACAGCATTTATTAAAATTATGATCAATTTATTGCATCCTTGATGAATAAAAGTATAAATTTTTTGCTCTTTTTTAAATCTTAACACAAATATTTGTATCATTGTTTGCAATAGGAGAGGAAGAATTGTCTAAACTCGTTAAATCATCTAATCGACAACATGTATGTTAGACCCTATACCGACTAAGCTACTGAAATAAATGCTTCCAGAGGTCATAGATCCTCTTCTTAATATCATTAATTCATTTTTGTCACTAGGATATGTACCGAAAACTTTTAAGCTGGCTATTATTAAACCTCTTATTAAAAAACGCAACTTGATCCTAGAGAATTAGTCAATTACAGGCCAATCTTTTTGTCAAAGATACTAGAAAAAGCAGTATCCTCACAACTATGTTCCTTTTTAGAAAGAAATGGTATCTGCGAGGATTTCCAGTCAGGATTTAGACCGTACCATAGTACTGAGACTGCTCTCATTAGAGTTACAAATGATTTGCTCTTATCATCCGATCATGGTTGTATCTCTCTATTAGTGTTACTTGATCTTAGTGCTGCATCATTGACCACAACATTCTTTTAAGTAGACTCGAAAATTATGTTGCCATTAGTGGAATTGCATTAGCATGGTTTAAATCATGCTTATCTGACCATTATCAGTTTGTAGCAGTAAATGAAGAAATGTCGTATTGATCACAAGTTCAGTATGGAGTACCACAAGGCTCAGTACTAGGACAGTTGCTGTTCACTCTGTACACGTTACCCTTGGGAGATATCATTAGGAAGCATGGGATTAGTTTTGACTGTTATGCCGATACTCAGCTATATTTCTTTGCGCCCCGACGAAAATTGCCAATTCAAGAAATTAACGGAATGCATAGCTGATATAAAAATTGATTGGACCAAAAACCTCTGCATGTACTAACCTAGAATACTGTCTAACAACAGATGGCTGCTCTGTCAAACCTTTGTCATTGGTTAGGAACCTGGGTGTGCTCTTTGATACCAAACTTTCATTTGAAAGCCACGGTTTTAGCATCTGTAAAACCGCATTCTTCCATCTTAAAAATATATATAAATGACATATATGACGACATATGCTTTTAATGAAAAATGCGGAACAATTAGTTCATGCGTTCATGACCTCAAGGCTAGATTATTGTAATGCTCTTATGGGTGGTTGCCCTGCACGCTTAATAAATAAACTACAACTGGTCCAAAATGCAGCAGCTAGAGTTCTTCCTAGAACCAGGAAGTATGACCACCTCAAAACTCTGGCCAGTTGATAATGCCTAGAATAGACTGCTGGCGGTAGATCCTTTTCCTATTTAGCACCAAAACGCTGGAACAGTCTTCCTAGAATTGTCCGGGAAGCAGACACACTCTGTCAGTTTAAATCTAGACTAAAAATCTAGACAGAACTGGGCCCTCATTAAATTATGGAATAATTGTTAAAAAATAAATAAAATAGGCATATTTGTGGAAAAAATATCTAATATTTGAGTTACATAAAAGCTTTTTATTTGTTTTCTTCCTAATTGTCCTTGAAATAGTGGTCAAGAAGAAGAATTTGTTGTCAAAGACCCGGTACTTTGGTACCAAGTCGGTACTAATTTTTTTTTAAACGTCACAAACCCGGTACTTGATGCGCGTGCATGCCCAAAGCGCGTGCAGTTGCGTCCTCTTCATAAAAGCGCTGAGACATGGCGACCGGCGGTGCTGCTGATGTCGTGGCTGTAAATCCACTTGTTGATAAGAAAGGAGGAAAGAGCCACATATGGAAATATTTTGGATATTAGCTCATAATAGAGACGCGGCGCGCTCGTTTTTACAGGCGCGCCTAAGTTCATTGTTGCATAGCAAAGACAGACGCCACGGGAGAGCAAGCGCTTGTGGAAAGGAGAAAGCGGTGCGAACTGCGCTCTCCATGATGACGAGGAAGTATTAGCAAAGAATTAATTGATTTCTAGCCCTTGCATTAGCTTTACTACTAGATATATTTATGGAGATGAGAAATAAAAAGCCGGCTGAAATGTGTCACTGTCAAGAAGAGCAGAGGAGGGGAGAGGAACAGGAGAGGAAGAGCAGAGGAGGGGAACAGGAGAGGAAGAGCAGAGGAACAGGAGAGGAAGAGCAGAGGAGGGGAACAGGAGAGGAAGAGCAGAGGAGAGGAACAGGAGAGGAAGAGCAGAGGAGGGAAGAGGAACAGGAGAGGAAGAGCAGAGGAGGGGAATAGGAGAGGAAGAGCAGAGGATGGGAGAGGAACAGGAGAGGAAGAGCAGAGGATGGGAGAGGAACAGGAGAGGAAGAGCAGAGGATGGGAGAGGAACAGGAGAGGAAGAGCAGAGGAGAGGAACAGGAGAGGAAGAGCAGAGGAGGGGAGAGGAACAGGAGAGGAAGAGCAGAGGAGGGGAGAGGAACAGGAGAGGAAGAGCAGAGCAGAGGAACAGGAGAGGAAGAGCAGAGGAGGGGAACAGGAGAGGAAGAGCAGAGGAGGGGAGAGGAACAGGAGAGGAAGAGCAGAGGAGAGGAACAGAAGAGGAAGAGCAGAGGAGGGGAGAGGAACAGGAGAGGAAGAGCAGAGGAGGGGAGAGGAACAGGAGAGGAAGAGCAGAGG